TTAAAGTTATCCAATTCACCTCTCTCTTTGTTAGCCTTGGGCCATTTCATAAGGGCTTAACATCCTTAACAAACTTTTTGAAATTAACCACTCAAATTATCTAGAATAATCAGTACTACAATTTATAAAAACTTATGCTATAGAAGTTCATTAAATCCATGTAAATGTGATAAAATTAATATAGAAATTTCCAAGTGTCTAAATCAAAATCTTAAAAAATGGGAATTGGATAAAAGCCACTTACCACAATTTGAGCAATTTTCATAAAAGCGATGAAATAAATCTGTGATCAAAATCTAAATTTTCTCTTTCTCTTTCCTCTTTCCCTCTGTCTTTTTTTTTTCTTCCTTCCACAGTAAGCCGACTCTACTTGACATATGGTGAGGGAGGCAAGTGGAGAGAAACTACTTATATATATATATATATATATAGTATTAGTGGCTTGGATTTGCAACTCCTACTAACATCATAGCGTTGTATTTTAAATTGAGAATTAGAATAGAATAGAGCCTTCAATATCATGATGGTGGTTTCTAGCTCCTCTACACTCATAGGCCCAACGCCGTATTATTCATAGCTCAATGTCACAGTGCTCTAGTTTAAATAAAAATTCATGTATTTCATTTATTTAATTTATTTTTCAAAATATCATATTGTTACAATCAACCAACCTTAGAAGAATATCATCTTTAACATTTCCCTTAAGGATTCCGACATAAAACTTGTACAAAAAAAATTGTTCCAAATTAAATATGTACGAAAAACTCAAATTAAGTCAAAATAAAATTAAAAGCTTATTATAGGTCTCTCATAAACCTAGTAATCACTTTCTCATACAGTCATGTGGTTCATTCGATCATACACCCTTCACTTATACAATGAAATGTTATATCAATCAATCATTCAAAATAAATTTCTTCCTAATTAAACTCTTAATTTATTATCGACCTTTTTGATACTATAAGTTATTCACTCGTAGCATCACTAGAGTAGGTATTATATATCCAAGTACAATAGACTCCCTCTAACTACAACTAACAGCTTTATCACCAACCCTATTTATCAATCTTTCACTATGAGCTATCAATCTTATAATGCATTGTTCTCATTTTTGAATGAGGTCATTATCCCTATATCAAACACCAATATCTAGAACTAAATAATTAAAATAAATTTCAAAATCTAAATCCAATATCTAGAACTAAATAATTAAAATAAATTTCAAAATCTAAATCAAACTTATCATTTTGTTTTGGCATGGCGATTTCATCGTTGAGCTTGAAACCATCAATTGACAATCACCCTCAACTGCGATTTTATCATCTAAAATACCACTTGATAAACACCCTTAATTGTCAGTGATATGATCATTCCAAAGACTAAAAATATCTTAATCATTGAACTCCATTGATCAATTTAAAACTTAAATCAAAATCAATCCTTAAATCCATCAATTGATAGTACTTAGTGATAATCAGCTCATAACCTATTTAGTTACTAATTATCATCTATGATAATCAATAGTTTGAATATTTCAAATCTTAACTCCTCCTAAATCATTTTATAAATCAAATCTAAATCAATCTAGTTACTAAACTCATTGATCAATTCAAAACTTCAAAATCATGGGCATGAACTATATCCTTTATCCATAACCTATTTTTTGAAAAAAATTTATTGCCTTAAAACCTGACCAATAATACGATGGATTCATGATTCATCACTTGCATATGTATTAGACATGTCCCTAGGGTCAACCATATTAGTTTGAAGGTATTTGAAAATCCCTAACCCCAAAACTCAAGGCATTTCCATAGGTTATAAAACCTATAAATATTTATATCCTATACCATTAAACATAACATATTGTGATGTTTGACCTTGAAAGTCTAACTAAAATTATTAATCATGATCATCATCATTAGTGTGATGCATTAAACTAGCATTAAACCTTGGTTGAAAATGGTTGACTATAAAACTTTAAAGTCCTAAATCTTAGAAATTAAATTTTCCATAAACCTTAATATGGCCCAATCAAACCAACCTATACAACCTTCTCCGAACATCTAGTATATAATTTGGAGTGCATTAAACTAAATCTCAATCCCTAGTTGACCTAGGCTGATTAAATTTGCTCTTTTACCCCTTTTAAATTACATTATATGTATGGAGACCCCACGAAGCATTGATACCACCTAAAACAAATCATAAACCTCATTTAAATATATTAAACCAAGTTTTAACCCTGGTCAACCCTTATTGACCAAGTAAACCTAGGTTGACCAAAGGGCCCTTTTAGCCCTTAAAAATTAATTTTGAATTAAATGACTTTTAATTGCATGGGACCACCTCTAATAAATAATAAACATCATTTGGAATGTATTGAACCAAGTTCTATTTTTGTGCTCAAATGAAACTGCTCTTTGGATCTAGAAATTTTCTCTTCCTTAAGTAGTCTTTATCGATCACTTTTAGGGTTTCTTTTTTTGATAAGTGAGTTGCGGATCTATTTTCATTGATTATGATTTTGATGATAGTAAACACTCTTATTTCTCTACGACTGCCTTATCTACTAACATTTCTGGTCCACAAGATCAGAATGCAATTTGGAACTAGCTCAAGATTGGGTACTAGGTCTGAGTCAGCTTGTACTTTTTTCCTTCCTTGAGTCTATTATAATTGGTGTGGCTCCTACACTATGTAACTTTGTACACACACACACCTTGGAAGATTTTTTATCTGTTCCCTAGAGTTTACTATTTTTGGTAACTTCGTCCGGGATAATATTTATATCGTCCTGGACAATCGCTTCAAAAATAGAAACCCTAATTAGGGCATCATTCTTATTAAGGCAGCCATCGTTAATTCGATAAGATTAGACGATCCTTGTATCAGCCAGGATAATAAACTCAATTAAGAAAGAATCAGCTGTCATGATCAATTTAGGTATTCTTTATTTTAGGATATCGGCCATGATGATCTAAACATCGGCCTAGATGATGCAGCACAATTATGCCAAAATCAATATGGTAATTATGGAAAGCAATTAAGGCTGATTAATACGATCACATCAACTTTGCCGATCGTAGGATCAGCTAGGACGATATCCTAGATGATTGACATCGGCTAGACTCTATTCCGGGTGGTGATTAGGATGATTGTCCTTGGATTTGAACTAATCTACCAGGATGATACTGTATCGGCCTGGACAATGTAACCAATTTTATTCTGATCATCCCAAATCATCTCCGCTAATTGAGCTTATTTTATACCGATCGGCCAGGACGATATTCATATTGGCCTAGACGATAAAGTTGGCAAGTTACATTAATGAGCTCATTTTGAGATATTCTATTTGGCCATTGTAGCTTCGTTCTTTTAGAGGGAACTTGAAGAGAGAGCTTGAAAGGGAGAGAGAAAAGGGTGTAGTTTGAGAGAGGGAGAAGATCCTTGGAGGGGGGACTCAAGGGAGTGTGCAGGGGGATTCTGTTGAGTCTAGTGAATAGGTTGTTAGACCTAAATTAATGTCCCAAGGCTACCAAGAGGGGGGTGAATTGGTATTTTTAAAACTTAACCCTCTTTGAAGTTGTGTTGAACCGAAATAAAAAAATTTTATTAAATTTTTTATGCAAAAAGTTTTTCAACCACAGAGTTTTTTAAACAAAAAAAATGCGGAAAATAAACAGCAATAAAGTAAATGACACAAGATTTATAGTGGTTCGGTCTAAACCAGACCTACATCCACTCCCCAAAGGCACCCTCTAAGTATTGCACTAATACCAATAGTATCTTTCCTTTTGCACCCATAACAAGGCGGAGAAGCCTTTACAAACACTCTTTTCACTACTACCCGGTTCTGCAGAGAATCGTCATCCTTTTACACAATCCATAGTATTGGCAGAGAATCGTCCATCCCTTCACACTCTCCTAGTGTGGGCAGAGAACCCTTCGTCCTTTCACTCTCTCTTAGTGTGGGTTGAGAACCCTTCGGTTGTTCACACTCTCCAAGTGTCGACAGCGAACCGGATCTCCTTAACAGATCTTCTCAGAAGAAATCTAGAAGGAGGAAAGAAAAGAGTGAAGTAATCCCAATTCTTTTCTTTTGAAGGAATGCAAAATTGCATTAAAACCAAATAAACCAATACAAAGAAAACTAGAAACTCAAGTCATCTCTAATCCATCACATTCCTCTTTTAAAATACTAAGAAAGGAATGTGGGATTTCCACATTATTCAAATCTTCCCAAATAAAATTATTATTGCATCCTAAATTGGCACAAAAATCAGCCAATTTGTTGCAATTTCTACTAGTATGAGAGAAAAGAACCTGGTTGAAGTCTTGAATAAAAGCAAGTTCCTTTTTTATCCTTCCATGTTTCTTCCAATTCTTCAAATTAACTTGAAGTTCTTTGATAATATTGCTGTTGTCTCCTTCTATGATTACTCCTTGAGCTTCAAGCATCCATTCTTTCAAGATATTCTTCAAGTAATAAATCGCCAAAAGTTCCACATGAGCAATGTCCCAATGTAGATAATGATGACCAAAAGCTAATAGAAATCCGCCTTTATTATCTTTTATGATACCTCCAATAACAGCCAAGTAATTGCTTTTTAATGAAGCATCAATATTTATCTTTATCCAACCGGTTGGAGGGAGACACCAAGATGAAAATAGCTTGAGCTGATTAGTATCCCAGTTTTCCGGATGAGTAACGATAAAGTTGCTAATTGTAGCTAAGGAGACGGTATTAGCAGCCATAAAGAAGACATATTCTTCACTCTTCCCGTGAACTAGCTTGCATCTGTTCTTCCAAGCTATGAAAACTGCTGTACAGTACATGT